GGGAAGGGGATGAGTCCAAATGTAGTGTAGTGCTTTTACTTTTTCTCCTGGAAACTTAATATTATGCTTTTTGGGGGCAGGAGGGAGAGTGAGTGACATGTTCAGTTAGAACTTCTGAATTTCCCCACACATTTTCTCTGGTTTGGGGGGTTTATTCCCGCTACAGCCAGGACTGGAACACTCAGCTCCTGACGTTCAGAATTGTTTTACCTGAACATTTACTGAGCTTTTGGGATGTCCAGACTTCCTCCTCTTTCTCTTGGCTCCCTTTCAGGGAAGCTTCTAGTTGTGACAGTCCATAAACGATCTATGGCCCCAAACGGTCTAACTTCCATTAAAAAAAAACAACAAAAGAAAACACAACAACAAAACAAAACCCAAAATGTATAATTTGAAGTGCAGTTTTGGAATAAACAAACATATGAATAAAAGAATGAGATATCTTTTTAGGTGAATTCTGTTCAAGGACCGAGAAATGATGGGTGACTAAATGGCACGTGACCTGCTTGGTTGTGGAGGGTTTAGAATCTGAACCATAAATCAATGCTATATGAAGTGGGAATGGAAGCATTTTCTATGTGACAAGTCAGATGCAAAACAGAATCAGTCATATATGATGGAATAAGCGTATTGCTTGAGAGAAGCTGAGTTTGTCCATTATGATTTCTAAGAAGCAGAGGTTGGGAGGATGCTTAAATAGTCAAGTAAAAAAATTGCTTTTCAGGCTCGGATTTGTGCATCTGTTTATGAGAAAATATATCTCTATGCCCTGAAATTACATAATGGGTGCACATTCAATGCTGGTATGAAAATTATCTTTGGTGTTAGCAAATAGAATCACTGGTTATTTTTCAAAAAATCATTATGGTGAGAATATTTAAAATGTAATAATATTCTTTGAGATTGTGTCTACATAGTACTAAAATAACTGGTTGAAAAATTAAAAGGCAATCAGATTAATTTGAGAGGGTTACGTGTACAAACAAAGCAAAAAAAAAAACATGGTTGTCTGAATTCAACTTTTGTTTTTCCTGGGGTATTGAATTTGGTAAGATTAGGTGTAGACACAGCTTGAATTTCCCTGCATTTAAAATTCTCATGTTTTAAATAAATAAGGCTTTCCTCCCTCCTAAATAGAAATACACTATGTAGCTGTACTCCTGGCCCCCTCTATTCCTGGAGAGAGAAAAAAAAGTAAATCAGTTTTTTCCTTTTAGTTTATGTCATTGACAAGATTAAATTTTCAGCAAATCTGGAGGGTGACCATTTAAATTGTCTCTTTTAATAGCTCAATTGTAATTGTGCCATATTTAGAAGGAAAAATTTTAAGCTGGAATGTAGGGCAAGATAAAGAAAGTAGAATGTGTCAAGGTAAAGGCTCTGTTTCATTGAAGGGGAAGTATGTGCCGATTTCCTGTCCTCCTGCTGCAGCAGACACACAGATGGCTCGTTGGTTTTGCCGCATCTCTCCAGGTCCTGCCTCTTCTAGACCTAGACAAGGTGCTGGGATTTGATCCTAAGGAGTTAGATTTCATTTCAAGATGGTTCAATTTTTCTTGTTAGCAGGTTAATGAATCTCAGTAAACAACTTATGGTTGAGATAATATTTAGTTTTATATTTCTAGTTAGATATGCTAACTAACCAAGAATACCCAGTTCTTCACCTAATAGTACAAAAGACTTCCACTTATATGAGTGACCATTCAATGGAATTCAGATAGAATTTGGGGTCACAATCAAGTGATTCATTCAGGTACTACTAGTACCATAGTATTAGCTTATCTTTTGGTGGTTTTTGTTTCTTGCTTTGATTTCTTTGGCCCTGGTTAAGTGATTTGGGAAAACAGAAATTTAAATTTTTATATTTGGAGGTTGAAGTCTAGTTTTTATCTGTCCCTGTTAGAAAGTAGAATCTATGTTATAAAATTTCCAGCTTAATGCAGTACCAAGAATGAGTGTAGTATGCTTTGGGGGCTATGCTACATTAAACCTACATTTGGAGGCTAAAATAAACAGCTAAGACCCCTGGAACCCAAAGTTTTGTCTCCCACTGGGACTCTGGTTTGTCTACCTTCCACCACTTCTTGGTCGTACCTGCTATTTTTATGGATGCCCAAGTCTTTTTAAAATGTCTGGTATTAGCAATAAAAATGGTTTGATTATATTTTTAGAATGATCACAGATACTGAATCGTTCATTTTAATAATAATGTTGTTCTGCTCATGTTGAGTGTCTGTAAAGTATTTTAAAAGGTATTTGGTGTCAAATGCGTAAAGCACATTTGTCAAATATCTAAGTAGGCAGTCCTGTATTTCATGGTCTTTTTACTAAAAAAAAGCATTTCTTTGAACAAGTTTTCTAATTTATTAACCTACTGTGTGAAACTTCGTTCTCTAGTTTACAAGTGGGGTCCTACTTTGGAAGAACCCCCAGGTTTTCTCAGCTATAAACAGATTCTGGAATCATGTTATATGTCTACTGAAGTGACACTTACGGCTCCTGAAAGGGAGTCTGCCATCTGGGTGCACATGTTATGCTGCATCAACCTCTTTGTTACGGTATTAATTGCTTCCCTGAAGCTACATTCTTTCTTGCCAGTTCTGAAAACGAATATTTCAAATGCTTCAAGAGTCATAAATAATAGTCATGATTCTATGTGGCATGTGTATTACAGCTAGATCAGTTCATACGTATAACTTTACATAGTATCTTGTGTAAAAATAGCTTTGGTTATTAAAATCATTGCAATAAAATACCTGCACTTTAATATTCAGTGTGTTCTTTGGTACCTAGGTGATTTTTTTTTAATGGATGGACTCTTGTTTCATTTCTTAAAAAACATTTGAACATTCCTTAACAAACAAAGAGAATGCACTAGTTTAGGTGTCATTCAAATTTCTTTGCTGGGTTTGAATCTGCATTTAGGTTGCGGGCCTGGCAGGTTCAAACAACAGGCTAGACGAGCAAAATCCCACTCCAAACCCAATGAACTCAGACAACCCCACACTGCTGGTTGCACTCCTACAGTACAACCCTTCCTCAAGACCAGCCCTGCCTAAGTCCCTAACCACTGGTGGTGTGTACGGGTGCACACGCACGCACCCATACACACAAGTACTGAGACACCAGACACCTTCGTGGCATGGCGGAACCGATGAGAAGGTCCGATCCTGGAAGATGTCCACTCGATGGCTCAATACCGCTGTGCTCCAAACCACAGAACAGCCAAGCACAGCGAGAATGACCATGGATTGAAGGTGTAAGATCCAGTGGTGTTTTCCTGCTCATAATTCTTGTTGCCAAGTCGTCGCCCCGCTGAAGTGTGTGTCTCTGAACAAAGTTAGAACGCAGGTGAGCTAAGTCTTTGGTTTCTTTGGACTATAAATAACAATTTTTTTCTTCTTCAAATATTTCTAAGTATAAACCTGCTATGTTGAGGTCCTGGTCTTTTAAAAATTTTTTTCTTTAAAGCTTTTCCACCGAGGTTTTAGTTTGTGGTTATTCCTTCATGCTTTGGTACAAGTGCTTGATGAAGAGGATGAGTTGCCGGAGTTGGAGCTGCCCTCGTCCTGCCACTTGTCCAGGCTCCGCCTCCGGGCGTTCATGAAGAAGTTGCTGACGGTGCTCAGCTCCAGCCCCAGCTGCTGGGAAATGGTGATTTGCAATTCTTTGGATGGACGCTTGTTTTCCTTGAATATTGCATGTAGAGTTCGACGCTGAACATCTGTGAAGACCAATCTGGGCTTTTTGGGTGTGTTGCCTCTATCCTTCCCATGTTCTTGCTCTTTCCTTTTGCATGCTGTAAAGAAACACAGGAGTTGTTAGAACCAACTGCCTGGGAGAATCAAAAGTGGAAAGGCAGAGCCAATAAAATGTGTTAGCCATTCCTCATGTCCACTCTCTGTCTGCTGGTCTCTGATTTTAGCATTATGGTGGGCTGGGGGGAATGTAAAAAGAGGATGCAGAATCGGGAGAAGGTGGAGTTCTGCGAGTCCTGCCTTTGAGGCTTTAACAGTATCTGCATTTTGTCTGTGGTGGATCAGTGAACCTCCTGGGTCTCAGACTCCTCTTCTGCAGGACACGGGGTTTGGGCTAGACACTCATTATCTGAATTTTTTTAAATTACCAACTGCCAAATGGAGATAAGAATACCTGCCTCTCTGGGTTGTAGTAAGGATATAGGGAATAGTATATGAAAAGTTAATGTTAACTGAAGTGATTTACGAATGCAAAGTCTGATCAGCTGAAGTGGTCACAGCCCTTGCAGGGTGCACAGTCTGCTGCTGGTAGTGCACTAAGAGCCTAATCAAGAGTCTGAAAATAAAAAGAAATTGCACTGGGTTCTGACCTTTGCTTTCCAGGAAACACTGTACGTAAGAAAACTGCACATAATGTCCTCCCATGCCTAGCCAACAGCCACTGGCTGTCGGTCCATGAAGAGTCCACCAACTCCTTATGGAACTTGCAAAGGAGGCTGCTTCTTTGCCATCCAGATGAAACTTGTCAGGTTCGTTAAGCATATTTACGTTTGGGGTGTCTCTGTGCCTCCTTTTTGCCCTTTGTGAAGATTTCCTCTCGGAATGCCTCTCTGCTCTTAACCCATCTCCCACTGAGAAAAGGTCTGTAACAGGTGTGGAACAAGGTCCAGAATTTGGGGTGTTTGGACTAGGGGTCTCCCTGAACCAGAGAACCCTCTGCTCCCAAATATAGAAAAAGAAAAAAAATCCCAAAGCTTCCACAACCTGGCTGGGGGAAGGGGAAGTAAAGTAGAGTCCTTGAGAGTTACTTTGCATATTTAAAGGACGTGGCCAGTGTTTTAGTGGTGTTACGTAGCTGTGCCAGCCACACTGGAGGCCAGGGACATGGGCGTGACTCTGACCTGGGATGCAGCTGGGAGGTGGTCCCCCAGTTGCTGCACCTGAAAAAGAGGCTTGGAGGTGGTTCCACCAAGCCTGCCTGGACTAACAGTGGTAGCTGAAAAGGCCAGGCTACTGGCCCATGTAACCCAGTGTGGGAGGAGTCAGAAATGGGGTTATGGAGGAAGATCCACACCCGGTTTTAAACCCAGGTGTGGCAGCCATGGGAGGGCTTAACCATACAGCTCTGAAAGGAGCAGAAAAGCAGGATGTAGGAGCTGTGAGGGGTCTTGGCCGCACAGTTTGAAAGGATGCAGAAGGACTCCCGCTGGCCCAACATGAGGATTTGGTTTTGGATTAAGAGCAGGAACCCAGCCAAGCACAGACGACTGGAAGAAGCTGGAATACGGCCGGGAATCTGCCCAGCTAAGCTAGAGATGTCTATTTCTTTTCCTGAGAGATGATGGTACCTCTCTCTGACTGGCCTGGTTTGGCAAGAGAGGCAGGACTCTGTGTTTGTGGGTGGTTTTTTTTTGTTTGTTTGTTTCTAAAGGGTATGAAATTTAACGGTAGAATTTCACCATCATTCCAAACCAGTGTAACTTTTCAATGAATAGTTCCTTTTCTCTTCATAAGACTCCGGCATTGGGAGCCACAGTTCTTACTGATAGCAGGCAATAGAACCCAGAATAATAGAACACAGTGGTCTGTTACAGGTCCCCTCCCTGATCATGTAACAGGGTGCAGCCGAGGCGGGGGGTGGGGCAAATAGGAATTTGTAATGGGGTCTGGAACTCCAGGTGTCCAGGAAATATTAGAAAAATATATAGGATGTCCTCCCTGTCCCTGCTCCCCCCCCCCCAGGTTTGAGTTGGGGGAAAGGACACATGGAGCAGGACCATGGAACAGGATGGTGCTGGGAGCACAAATCATGGACTTCTACTTCTTTTCCTGAGATATGGTACCCAGATTAGGGCAGAGGGAGAAGGAAAAACTGTGTGTGTGTGTGTCTGTGGGTATCCTAAAGGACTTTAATATTTTAATGAAGACATTAAGTCCCTACTCTAAGTCTGTATAGTTTTACATAAATATTTCCCTTTCACAAATCTCTGGCGTTAAGAGATGTCTTTCCTTTGGCGGCGGGCATAGCGAACTTGGTGGGGTGTCCTTTTGGTAACAGTATATCGTATACCCACCTTGGGTCTGTTCTGCAATAATCATGCCTCTTGGTCCTATATCATCAACTGCTTCCTGGCTGCTAGAGCTAATCCAGAGCATCATCTCCATGTGTCCCTTGGCCCCAGGTTTGGTGCTGGAGCAGGGTCCCTCCTCCTCTCTTGATGCCACACTCTTCTTTCTAGCTTAATGTGGCTCACTGGCTGCCGTCTGCCTAAAGGGCACTATAGGTTGCAATGCTAACAACACCCTCCCCTCTACTCCTCATTTCGACCATCAATCAATGTTGCAACCTCAAATAACCGTACAACCCAGATGAAAACAGTGCTCTGATTATGCTAATGCAACTTTAAGACCAGGCTGCTGTGCCCTGACTCCAATCAGATTGCTGTCTCTCAGCCCCCCTCCCTACGCCTTCTGGAGCATTTTGGAGCATGCCTGCCGAAGCCACCACTATCTCTGTATCTGGTGGCTACACTCTGACATGAGTTCCAATCACAGTGAGAGGCAGGTGGGGCATCTGCCTGTGCAGCAGGTGGACTATTGCCCTGTCATATCCCCTCAGACCTCCTGTTGGCTCCCTGGCCCATTGCTGCCGTCTGCTCCGCCTCCTGGCTCTTTGTATTCCAGGTTCTCAATTCCTTAGGAGATGGTTCACCAGCTCTGGCAGGCTGCAGCCTCTGTGATCATTCTAAAAATATCAAGTATACTTCAGTGTATACTTTGTAATACTATTTATTTATAAATTATATACTTGTGTTATTGTGCTACTTACTATATTATGCACATGGTAAAGCATACACAAAATACAGAAATTTTTAAACAGGTAAAATAAAGAGATGTAGAAATTCTCTTCTATAGGTGGATCAGCTAGCCTAGGCCTTAGAGTGCATTCACCCCACTGAAGGAACCACTGATCCAGTCACAGAAAATACAGGGTAAGAGTTTCAGAATGAACATGAGGGGAGAGCTCAGTCACAAAAAATAGATCTGGGGGCAAGTCAGATCACATGGCACCTTTGAGACCACATACCATAGATCAGGGGTCCTCAACCTCTGGGCCGCGGACTGGTACCAGTCCAGGCCTATTAGGCACTGAGCCACAGAGCAGGGAGTGAGCTTGAATGTAATGCACTTGAATCATCTGAAGCCATCCCTGCCCCGCAATCCCTGGGTTGGTGGAAAAACTCTTCCACAAAACCAGTCCCTGGTGCCAAAAGGTCAGGGACCACTGCCTTAGGGCACTGGCTACATCATTTTCCCAATATGAGGGAGCAGCATCAACATAATAGGAAGAATTGATGAAGCCACAGAGCACTGAGCTGTGTATACCAAACCAGCTGAATTTCCCCAAGTAGAATCCCTCCCCACAGGGACCTACAGCCCTCATTGGACAACTTGATGAAATCCCTGAAGAAAAACAGCTGATTAGACCAAAAACTCTAGTTAGTTTGAGTCAGTCTATTTAGACACAGCTTTATACAGTACTGATGCACATGGCTGATCTATTCATTCACATTCAAAAATGAATATAACACAGACTTTGCTCTTAAAGAGGTTGTTCTTGTGGTCATGTAAACAAATAACTGCAAGAGTGGAAAAAGAGTATATAGGATACCTCTGCTTGAGGATATTAAGGAAGGTTTCACAGAGGAGGAGGTGCTTATGCTGGGCTATGAAGGATGAATGAGAGTTTGCTGGTGAGTGAGGTGGGACAGAGTCATACTCAGCAGGAGGAGCAACATGCATGAAAGACTGATAAGTATCGGTAGGTGGGGATTAGTGGGGCAAGAGTGCATGCGGGAGGAAAGTCATGGGCAACAAGCCTTTACAGGTAGACAAACCAGAATTGAATGATCTTGTAGATAATGAGGAGCTATTGAAAGGTTACGAGTAAGGATGTAGTGTGATTAAACCTGGGGCTAGAAAAACTCCTCTGGTGGTGTCCTGGGAGACATATTGGAAAGCGACATGATTAGGGACAAGGAGGCTGTGGTATGCCACCCTGATCTGCCTCAGGACTAGGGTGCCCCTTCTCCCACCTGCTGGAGGAGTTGGTGGCTGGTGGCTCTCAGCTGAGGTCCATTCTGGGAATTGCCCTTGGACAAAGGTTATACCACCCTGGGGTGAGGGGGGCTGCCCATATCCAGGGCGGGCTGGGGGAAGGGAGGTTGCTATGGATAGTAGAGGCTGAAAAGAGTGGGAATGTGCTGGTTTAAGGTCTCCCAACTCCAGTCCCTTGCATCAAGTCCAGACAGCTCCGAAGGGTCATCTAGTTCCAGAGCTCCTATAGGACTGATTGAGGCTATTATTGCAACTCCATCAAAGTTTAACATCTCTCTCTGCCCAGTCTTACCTCCTCCATCCCCACCCCCTACAGGTGTTCTTCCCCATAGTTTTCTCTGGTAATCTTCTGCATGCAGGTTGCAGAAATCCAGAGTCTTTTCCCCAGAAAACCTAACCTAAGATAGAAGTCATTAGTAAACCACTGTAGTGAGACCCCAAATTAGACAATGGCCGTTGAGGATGAAATATATGGAGCAAATTCCAGAGCTTTTTGGAAGGTAGAAAGAACCAAGAGGACTTACTGCCAATTTGGCTGGGAGGATGGTATTCAGAAGGTCTTCCAGGTTTCTGGTTGGATGGTAGTAATGGGGCCATTAGGACATTCGGATGGAGAAATGAACTTTACCAGGGCAGTAATCACTTCTATGTGGGGCAAACTGCATTTGATGTGCTCGTTGGACATTTTGTTAAAGAGCTCCGATAGGTGATTGTTCAGCAGATGGCAGGATGTACGTGGTTTGTAGCTCAGGGGAGAGGTCTGGGCTAGGATACAGACTGGGGAGTCATCAGGGCTCTAGGTGGTAAATAACACAGAACATATGCTCGTGGAAAAGCAAATAACCGAGCTTTGGGTGCAGACTCAACCTATTTATCATTCAAAAGGCAGAGAGAAGGGATATCACAAAGATATCCATTTCCTACCTAAGGATGCATATTTGAGTAACTTCCATCTGGTCCTCAGCGTTTGGCAGGACTGAGGGGGCCGAAGCTACCCCAAGCCAGCATTTCCCAAATACTATCAGAGGAATACTGTCTTAAACATGGTTCCTTGAAAAGATGTTTTGCAGGTCAAGTACATTTACAAAAATCTACTATATATAGCCTTCCCCTGAAAACTCATAATATGCGTTAGCACATGTAATTCTATTTCCCAAATTTTCTTAACCCCTTTTTGGTGGGGTCTGTCTATTCATGTCTCATATAATACCGATGTTGGACGTTCCTGCCCCAAGCTCTCAAGCACTGTAGACACCACAGTGTCCAAATCTGGGAAGTAAGATTCTCCCAGAGCAGAGAGCTTGGCTGACTGGTGCTGTATCTCAACACCTCTTAGCATAGTGCCTGGCTCTACGGCAGGGGTGTCAAACTCATTTTCACTGGGGGCCACATCAGCTTCATTGTTGCCTTTAAAGGGCCGAATGTAATTTTAGGAATGTATAAACGTAACTACTCCTTAACTAGGGGCAAGGAGCTCGGTGCTGCTGTTGGGTAGAAACAAGGTTTCTGCCATATTAAACAAGGTGGGGGGCGGGATTCAGCCTGTGGGCCTTGTGTTTGCCACCTGTGCTTGAAGGGGAACTCAGTCCCCACGGGCTATTGAAATAAACCAAATAAAAAACAAGCAGAACAGAGACAGAATCATAGATACAGAGAACATTTTGATGGTTGCCAGATGGTTTGAAGGATGTCAGGGAAAGGGCAAAAAAGGTGAGGGGAGTAAGAAGCACAAACAGGTAGTACAGAACAGTCATGGGGATGTGAAGTACACATAGGAAATGCAGTAGCCATAGAACACACACGCACTGACCCACAGAACAGTCATGGGGATGTGAAGTACACATAGGAAATGCAGTAGCCATAGAACACACACGCACTGACCCACGGAACAGTCATGGGGATGTGAAGTACACATAGGAAATGCAGTAGCCATAGAACACACACGCGCTGACCCACGGAAATGGACAACAATGCGGAAATTGCCTGAGGGAAAGGGGACTGGGTGCAGAAGGGCAAAGGGGAAAAATTCAGGACAAACATCATAGCATAAACAATAAAAAAGAGAGAATGTGAATGACAGCAGTGATCTAGAATTTCTGTGGAATTTGTTTCCGGGTCCAGATGACCTGAGGGAAGGTGCGAAACCTCCAGCTGGGAGTCCCAGGAGTCCACAGTGTGCAAGGCAGAGAGAGTAAGAAAGTACAGGAGGAGCGTGATAAGAAGCACTGCTGCTCGGGGAACAGCAGTGTGTGTGTTTTTGGTGAAAGTTGCACTTTTTCTGTGGGTATACAGTTTCCGTGAAAAATGGACAAGCATTTATCACAGCACTGGGTTGATGGGAAGAGGGTCCCTCCGGTTTGTGAAAGGTAATGCTGAAGAGGAAGATGGCCTGTCATGAGCCATGTCAGTGAAGGTGGGCAAGCAAAAACATTTTCAAGATGCAGTGGCCAAGCGTAGTGGGGCTGTTGCAGACAGGAGACTGTGACCCTCTTTATAGGTGACATTACCCACAGCGAGTCCCATTAGGGAGGCAGAAGTGGGCATGGAGGTTGGTAAAAGGCAAAGCATGACTTTGTGCACTACAAAACAAAAGATTATAAAGACTTTTTAAAAAAGACAGAACTTGAAGACATGAACAAAGGACAGAAACTTTCATTTCAGGCCTACCTGGGGCCTGTGCTTTACCCATAATTGGCAAGACAGAGCCAAGGCTATTTCAGGAAATATGAATTCTGCAGGATCTTGAAAGGTATTTCATGAACAATGAGTTTTTGAGGTTAGTCAGTTTGGGAAAGGCTGAGTTAACTGATGATTAAACAAGCTATTTTTTTAAAAGATTTTATTTATTATGAGCGAGGGGGAGGGAGAGAGAAAGAGACGGAGAGAAACATCAATGTGTAAGAGATATATTGATCAGTTGCCTCTCGCATGCCCACAACTGGGAACATGGCCTACAACCCAGGCACATGCCCTGACCGCAAATTGAACTGGTGACCTCTTGGTTCACGGGCCAGCACTCCATCCACTGAGCCACGGGCAACAAGCTTCTTCAGTGTAGGACTCAGAGCTTCAATATGCTAGCGTGCACTGATACTTTCCAGCTTGTGGAGTCTCCTAAATTTATTTGATTAAGGAACTCTTTATTGAGAGAATTTTTCTCGGGAACGGCATTGCTTAGAACAGTGTTTTTATCAACATGTTGGCACACCCATGCTGGTCTGTGAACTGTTACTGACCTGAAGCAAGATCAGCACAGAAAACTGGGAATTAGCAATTAGAAATTTCTGTGGCAGTTTGACATTACTGCAACATTCAAGCATGGGATTGTTGCTCTAGTAATAGATTTTTTAATGTGTTATCAGAATTTGGTCCAGGACAGATGGCAATTAGAAATAAACTACTAGTCCTTCATGACCTAGACTATAAGACAGCTTTGTCTTAGAACACGTGTTATAACACAAGGCAGACAGTACCACCCTAGAATCTGCTATCCGCCTAGCGTTCATGTGACCAACTTATATCCATTTACCTGATTTAATGACACAAAAGACATTATAACATCTAAAGTGCTGATCGAGCTATACAAAAGTCTGCCAAGAACTTGTCTGGGAATATGTGGGCACAGACGTATTGGCCTGGAAGATGTTTAGAAAGCCCAGTAGATTGATAACACAACTTCTCAGGTGAACCTGGACTCGGACGACGCAAACTTGAGCCCCAGCTCCGTGGGCACTGGCAGGTGTGTGGTATCAGGCAAGTCCTTCATCGTCTTTGAGCCGCAGTTTACTCAGCTGCAAAATAGAGGACAATGGCCTTCTTTCCTCACAGGATTGTAATAAGCATTAAGTAAAATAATACATGATGAAGTCATTGTTAAAAGTATAAATCCTTAGGACTATTCTAGATGTTTATAAATGAACTTTCTGATGCTTTTTTTTCTTTAGTCGAGGTGTGGTATAAATATTGAATTGACACAGCAGGCTGGCATCTTTGCTTTGTCTCCAGCCCGTGGAATGAACTTGGACCATCACTTGTTCTCTTTCTCTGCACCCTTTAAATGAGCAGGGTGTGTTCTGAGGTCCCTGTGGGTGTGAAAGCCTGCGAGTCAATGAATGCATGGCTGCAGTGTATGCTGGTTCCCAAAGCCTATTAAAAGACTTCCAACGTAGGCGTAGTTTTCCGTTGCATCTTCTCCATCCTTCTGGCTTCTCAAAAAGAGCAGGGACTGGCTCTGCAGGGCCTCAGCTAGTCCTCAGATAATCCAGATCCACATTCATCTGAATGAATGTGATAAAACATAAACTCACAGTCCTCACAGCTGCTTGCACTTTTGGAATTTATGAGCTTTCTGGATGAAAACAGTTACAACCCCTACTCCCACAGGCTCTGAGAACAGTTAAGCATTTGCTTTCCTAGGACTCTGAGCCATTAAATAATAGGTAATTTGTGTGTTTCTACTTTTTAATTAAAATTGTAGGATAATTTGCCCTGGTTGGTACGGCTCAGTGGTTTGAGTGACAGCAGTGAACCAAAGGGTTGCTGGTTCGATTCCCAGTCTAGAGCACATGCCTGAGTTGCAGGTCAGTTCCCCACTAGGGGGCTCACGAGAGGCAACCACGCACTGATGTTTCTCTTCCTTTCTCCCTCCCCCTCTCTAAAAATAAACAAATAAGTAAATAAATAAATAAAATCTTAAAAATAATTGTAAGACTATTTAATTTGCTTCCTGACGTTAGTCTGTTTGTCCCAGAGTTGGCTGTTTTTCACAGAATCATGCCTTAGAGTAAGGCTGACCACTGGGGTACAGAATCAGCGTGTACTTACTAAAGTACATGGAACGTCCAGGTACAGTCAGGGCGATCTCCATACTCATAGTCTATGAGTGAGGAAGCGTCTGTGGAAACCATTGCACTAGTGGTTTGAAAGTTTAGGTTCTGGCCCTGGCTGGGTAGCTCAGTTGGTTAGGGCATTGTCTCCATGCACCAAGGTTGTGGGTTCAGTTCCCCGTCAGGGCACATAAAAGAACCAATGAATACATAAATAAATGAAACAACAAGGACATATTTCTCTCTCTCTCCCTTCTTCTCTCTCTAGAATCACTTTTTAAAAGTGAAGTATTTCCTTTAAATAAAGACAGAGAGAATGTTTGGGTTCTGGTTTTGGCCCTGTCATTAATTAGCTGAATGACCACATTAAATCCATGAATCAAACTGAGTCCCAGTTCCTTAACTGCGTAATGAAGGGATGGGACCAAACAACTCAGAGTCCCTTCTGGGTTCAGCTCTGTGACTAGATGTGTGTAAATGCTTTCTGGTCCAGGAGAAAGAGCAGGCAGTGCAGACCCTGCCCAGGACTATGGGTTTCTAAATTGTAAATGGGCACCCAGAAAAGTATGATGGTTAAACTGCTCATTCTAGGGATGGCTGGGCCACCCTTCCAGTCCATGGCCCCTCTTCTGTCAGACTGTCCATGTACCACTGCCTCGACCTCACGCCTGGCAGGAGCGATGGGGGTGGACTGGGGAATGAGGGCGTTTGGGGCAGAACACCTGCAAATGAGGCAGGAAGGGGAATAAGACCTCTGTGCTTAGTAAACAGTATTATCAGAAAACTGGGCTTCATAAATTGAGTTATTCTTAGACAGAATTTGTAAATATCCTTTAGAAAACTCAAGCTTATGTTGGTTACACGACAGAGGAATAGACGTGTATGTTTTTTTGGAAGGGGGTAGATACACACAGACAAGTGATCTTTAGTGGTCGGCACACTTCTAGGAAGCTGTGGTGTCTGACAGAATAAGATGGAAACGGAGCCAAATGAGCAGCGTGTCTATTGAGCCTCCAAAGACCCTCTCTTGACAGCTGGAGCTGCTTTTCAAAGTAAACTCTACAGGGCAATATAAATGAAAGAGCAACCATGCAAATAAGACAAGACAGATTTCAGTAAGACAGATAGGGGTCTGGCCCTGGGCCTGTTTTACAGAGCAGTCCCCACAATGGGGAGAGCAAAGAGCCAGTGGGTAGGCTGCGACATGTTCAGGATTAGAGCTCAGACTCTCAGAGTCCAGGGTCACAATGTTATCTGATCTGCCTTCAGTTATGTGGCTGTACTATGCATAATTTTATAAGATGGAGCTCTTAATAGGTTTTGGAATCAGGCAGCTGTTAAGTAGCAAATTTAGAGGGCACAGCACCATGTGTAATTTGAAAAGCAACTCCAGTGAGTTCTAAATGACATGGCCAAGGGCAGCCTTTGCACAGAAAATGAACTCCTGCACGGATTGTCTGGAGCCATGCTGCCTGGCAGAGGGAGGTGAAGCCGATGGATGGAGCACCTGTGGAAACTCCTCTGGGCGTGCACATGGAAGGCCTTACTAAACCCAACAAGAGCAGACATTCCCAGTCAAGAATGATCATAAAGACCTAGCCCTGCGTCTTGCTGTCCAGTGCTTAAAACACCTCTGTCTGCCCTGGCCTGGGGGCTTGGTTGGTTGAAGCGTTGCCCCATACACCAAAGGTTGCAAGTTTGATCCCCGACTGGGGGCAACCAATCGATGTTTCTCTGTTACATCAATGTTTCTTTCTCTCTCTCCCCCTTCTCTCTCTCAAATCAAAAAATATATCTTTGGGCGAGGATTTTAAAAATTTAAAACACCTCTGTTAACTCTTTCTCTTGGAGCCCCAGTAAACTCAGTTGAGGAAGACATGGGTATTACTTCTTTTAATGCAGATGAAGAAACACTACCAGAGAGGACAGACAGCTTGCCTATGGGCACACAGCAGGTTAGTGGGGGACCTCCAAACCATGCCCTGGAGGCGGATGTCAGCAGAGTGGACACATGAAAACTTTGCCCAGGATGGAGAAGTGGGTATGAGCACGGGTGACGGGAGCCTGGGGAGCCCACAGCCATGCAGAGCAGGTGGGCACAGCTGGCTCACTGGGCTGCAGGCTGCTTGTTGGCCAGACCTGCCTTGCTGTGGCGGAAAGAACTGCAGTTGGCCCATCCAGGAAAGCGTGCTGCATGGAAGGAAGCCGAGATGGGTGTTCAGGCAGTGCAGGGGACAGCACACTCACTTTCGCCTGGGAGAGGGGCGGGAGTGAATCCGGTTTCCAGTAGCAGAGCAGAAGAGCATGAGATAGGTGCTCCATACAGGTATCGGCTTTGAGAGGAAGCTGATGGGAACTGCTGACCTAATGGAAAAGGAAAGATGGGGAGCAGTGGGCTAAAGCCAGGACACGTCTGCTCCATCCAATTCAGGTTGGAAAAGTCATCCAAGCCTCTCAGCACTCCACCTATTTGCTTTTTTAACAGAGCTGTCTGGGACAGAGACCTGCCTTCCCACACACCTGCTGCCTGGAGTCCTTCTGGAATCAGCATATAAAGTAACTCTGTCAACCTCTCCTCTCTAGGTAAAACTCCGTGGCTGTAGTCCAGGAAAAGAGAATCCAGTGAACCTTGAGATCAAAGACTGGCGGAGGCTGCAAGGGCCTGGGAAGGGTGGAACAGGATCAGCGGAAACTTGTGGCTGCTTTTCCTGTGCTAAGCCCACATGTGTTGTCTTATTACCTTACAGAGCCTCTTATTACCTCCCAGAGCAACTACAGGAGGTCTGGACTATTCTTATCTCTAGTTTACAAATGAGTGGCTTGTGACTTAGAGGTCAAGGGACTGGTCCAAAGTTACCTGAGAGTAAATGGTGGGGCTGGGCAATGTGGGGCTCAGCAATAGTACTGGAGACCAGGTATGACCCAGGTAGTCCTTAGGCACAGGTGGGTGGAAAAATCAGAGAATCATACAGTAAGTTCTAACTTAACTTCATCCATAGCTTCTGTGACTTTAAGTGAAATGACTTACAACAAAACCAATTTTACCGTGGTCTAATTGATAGAAATAGGAATTAAGTTCCTAAACATCTCATCAACATTATAATGAAACTACGTATTAGAGGACTTGCTGTACCAGCTTTCACTTGGCATGGCCCCCTTAAATAGCCCTTTTTGTATGATTCTAGACTACCCCAGTTCTTCTCACAAATTCTGTGTTCATTCTTTTGCTCTGTGTTCTCTCTGGGACAGGCTGACCCTGAGACAGAAAGATGAGCTGGGACTCCTCAATGAATGAATGCATTTTCATACTCCTGTGATACATGCATTGTTGTCTTGCTGACCATTCACGCTCACAGCCACACATCTTCCTAAGCACAGGGTCAAGCTTTCTGATACTCACAGGAAAAGATGCTCACTGCCTTGCCCTTCCACCCACCAAGTTTCTTCCCTGCATTGCAGCTTCAAAGGAACCAGTGGGAAGAGAAGCTGCCACCTGGCACCTGCTTGTCTGGTCAGTAACGAGAGGTCGTACAACTGTTTTCTGAAAGTTTGGCTCAGAAATTCTGATTTTTAAATTCCTAAACTTCTGTTAGTGCCTGATCCATCGGAATTTTATTACAACAGTATCCCTCATCTTGCAGAGCCCCTCAGTAGTTTGGATCCCAATAACTGGAAATATGTCTTATTGATGCCCTAGTTATAATGTTGATTCTATAAGACAAATGGCACACTGATAAATTACATGCTTATTATGCATTAATATCTCAGATAAGCCTATTGTAAATTGTAAGTCTCAGTTTCACGATCCCATTTCTTTAATTAAAAGCTGTATGTAATACCTTATAATATTCACAGCAATTGAAAGTTATAATATGGAATTCCTTAACAAATAACCTATAATTTTGACTTTGCACTAAGTCATCAGACATTTCCCACAAGTAATTTCAAATTAGTGGTTTGCATTT